AAAAGGCTTTGTTTTATTTTGCGTAAACGTTCCCTTATTGGCATTAATATAAAATGTAGCGCAGTCACGTGCGGTTGGATCTGCTGCCAATGTCATCAGTTGGGGCACCTAGAGAAAAGGCCAAGAATGTGTATGAGGCCGGAGCAGATACTTTGTCCTGAGGTGCCAGGGACAGTACAGCTATTTACTAGAGGTAGGGGGACTGGGTTTGGTAGGACGAGGTGAGGTTGTTACTGGGATTCTGCACAGTAATAGAAAGTGTTCATACGTAGCTGTTTGCCAAGGTGGCTAGCTTTATGGTAGCCACGGTGCTGCTGTGAAGAAACTGTGCAGCGGGACTGATCCAGAGGTGGGCACTCCTGTTCTGAATCTACAAGTCCGGCAGCCACAGGCATGACTCCCAGAGGCATGATGGGATTTTTAGTTTTGCCATGGTTGCCTACTCCCAGGTATAACACTTTGGGTGTTGAAAGTCCGGGTCATACAACCTGAACTTGTCGTCAATAAAAGAAGTAAAGCTGGTCATATACACGGTTACAATTACGTATGATCAGAACATTCGATAATGCCGTCAGAGACTTCATGAGTGACCTTCAAACTCTTGTTTGGGTTTAACATTCGATTTTGAAAATTGATCTTTCCAAATGGAAAGCACTGCTAGACTTTCATTTGAGAAACAATTTCCATCCTGCTTCTTTTTATTATTTATTTATTTTATCACTACGATAGTTTTGACCCCACGTGCACAGATCCCTTCCTGATCACCCCGTGTGAAAGGGGCCTTAGGCTGGCCATACACTAGTTAAATTTCGGCACAGTCCTCGGGACTAAAATTTGACAAGTGTGTGGCCCTCTGGGAACCCCCCTTTCTGAGTTCACCGAAAGTTTTTTTTTTTTATCAACTTTTGTCGAAGGTCTAAAAATGTTTTGCCAGTCTGAAAATTTTCGGCTGAACAGTGATTGCAGCCAGTTATCTGCAGTCACTGTTCAGGTATACAGGGGCAGACTGAGTGCAATAGCCTGGTGGGGGGATTCTCCCATCCATGCTGTTTCTCTTGGACGGGGAGATCCAGAGTTCATACGGCCAGTGTATGACAAACGTCAACTTTTTTGAGATATAAAGAAACTGCCCTCGAGGTTTTTATTTTATTTTTTTAGCAAACTGCATTGTTCTCGCTTTTATGCTGGTGTGTCAACCTTGAATATTTGGGTGCGCTTGTTGAAATGCATAAAAAACATTAATAAATATAAAACCACATTTTTCTGAAAATAAGTGTTACAATCTGCCTTTATGGTAGTCGCATCTTCAGATTAGAGTATCGGCTGGTGTTTTAGCAGATATGCAAATCCCAGTGCAGTAAACATGAGGATATTACTGGGGATGCTCTTAATTGGACCTCAAGCATCACGCAGACGTCTGGGAGAAGAGCGACCCCATGGGGGCAGAAGGCTTCTGACAAATCCTGTTTACAAAAGGAGTACGGGCTTTTGACGATAGGCAGCATTCTTTTAGCTTGCTTTAAGGGCTTGTTCACACCATTTTCTGGTCCAGATCTGGAGCAGATCTGCAGACGCGGTGCTATATGTGCAGTGCGTTTTTGACGCATTTTTACCGCGTTCCAGTTAAAAAAAACATTTTTTTGTCAGTGTTAGCTGCAGTGCATTTTTTGTTGCGCTTTTGTTGTGTTTTTGATGTGTTTCCGGACCGGAGAAAATGTGACGTGCAGTATTTTTTCTGTCTGGACCGGAACGGACTGCGCTGGTGAGAACTGTAGCCCATAAAACACATAGGGAGACATTGGGATGCATTTTGGGTGCAGCGCCCGTTTCTGGTCCGGACAGAATCCGGACATCGTGTCAACAAGCCCTAAAAGTTCTTTGGGAAGAAGAGCCGTTATGCAGACAAATGCCCTTGCGTATAATCCCTAATGGGGCTATGGGGCAAGGAAGATAATTTTTTGACAGTTGCGGTATATTAAGGCTGGTTGCAGATCGACAGGGAGATTTAATATTGTAGCAATACATGTATTTTTATTTTTTTTTCCTGGACAAAATAGATATATTTTGCTGATATTGTCTTGCAAAAATTATCTTATTTTCTGCACTCTATAGGCAAAAACATACAGAAATGTAAACACATTTTTTGTTTCTACTTCACCGATTGCTGTAAAATGTTACTGTACATTTTTTAAATTTCATTACAACACCAAAAAAAGTTTAAATGTAAAAAAAAAAAAAAATTAGCAGAAAAAGAACAAAGGCTAGAAGGAGGTAGGGGTTAAGTGGGGCTGATTAAGGGTAATTAACCCCTTCATGACTGAGGCCCTTTTTTCAATTTTTGCACCCATGTTATATTCCACATTTTAGGCCTGAAAATGACGTAAAACCCCCCAACATTATATATTTTCTGAATGCCAAGACCCTATAGAATAAAATGGTGGTAGTTGAAAATTTTTATGTTGCGCAATATTAGCGCAACTCCTTATTAAACCCCAAAATTTAGTGACAAATTTAATTAAATGCCCCAAAACACAACAAATTACCCATTTTTTTAATGAAATATAAAAGATGAGGTTACAACGAGTAAAACGATACCCAACATGCCCAGTTTACAGATTGCGTGCGACCGTGAAACGGCGAAAAACTGCAGTACCCCAAAAAGTCAATAAAAGACACTTTAAAAGCCCCCACAGGTCATCAATTTAGAGATACCCCAAAATACTGGCCCTAGAATTATTGCTCTCACTCCGGCGTGCGCGGCGATACCCAACATGTGTAGCGCGTTCGTCGTTTTCATGCGTAGGCGCACCCGACGCGTGTTTACGTGGCGACGCGCGTGCTCGCGGGGGCGGGGTACTTTTAAAATTTTTTTTTATTATTATTAGATTTATTTTATTTCATTTTAATTTTAAAAACTTTTTTTTTTTTTTTTTTTACTTTACTTTGACTGCTATCACATGGGGGGGCTTGCAAGCCCCCCCATGTAATAGCAGATGGTG